TAATCTATTAATCTGGGGTTTTCTATATCTAAATACTGGGTCCCAAAGGTGCTTTTTCAAAAGGCAACTGAACTTACTACTACTACTACTACTAATAATAATAATAATAATACTAATAATAATACTACTACTACTACTACTAATAATAATAATAATAATAATAATAATAATAAAAGTTGGAAGGGATCTTGGAGGTTATCTAGTCCAACCCCCTGCTCAAGCAGGAAACACTGTACCATTTCAGACAAATGGCTGTCCTGTCTCTTGTTAAAAACTTCCAGTGTTGGAGCACTGACCGCTTCTGGAGGCAGGTTGTTCCACTGGTTAATTGTTCTAACTGTCAGGAAGTTTCTCCTTAGTTCTAGGTTGCTTCTCTCCTTGATTAGTTTCCATCCGTTGCTTCTTGTCCTGCTTTCAGGTGCTTTGGAGAATAGCTTGACTCTTTCTTCTTTGTGGCAGCCCCTGAGATATTGGAACACTGCTATCATGTTCCCCCTCGTCCTTCTCTTCATTAAACTAGACATACCCAATTCCAGCAACCGTTCCTTATATGTTTTAGCCTACAGATCTCTAATCATCTTTGTTGCTCTTCTCTGTATGCTTTCTAGAATCTCAACATCTTTTTTATATTGTGGTGACCAAAACTGGATGCAGTATTCCAAGTGTGGCCTTACGAAGGCATTGTAAAGTGGTATTAATACTTCATGTGATCTTGATTCTATCCGTCTGTTAATGCAGTCTAGCACTGTGTTGGCTTTTTGGCAGCTGCAGCACATTGCTGGTTCATATCTAAGTGATTGTCCACTAGGACTCCGAGATCCCTCTCACAGTTGCTACTATTGAGCAAGGTACCCTCTATACTATACCTGTACATTTGGTTTTTCTTGCCTAAATTTAGAACTTTACTTTTTTCAGTGTTGAATTTCATTTTGTTAGATAGCATCCAGTGTTCCAGTTTGTTCAGATCCTCCTGTATCTTAAGCCTATCTTCTAGATTGTTGGCTATTCCTGGCAGCAAATTTGATGAGTTCCCCATCTATTCCCTCATCCAAATTGTTGATGAAGATGTTGAAGAGCACTGGGCCTAGAACAGAGCCTTGGGGGACCTTTTTTCTATGGAAGAAACCATTTTCTTTCTTTTTCCTTGAAGACGTTTCACTTCTCATCCCAGAAGCTTCTTCAGTTCTGACTGAATGGTGGAGAATGGAAGGATTTATATTCCTCGAGGTCATCTGGTCATTAGCACTCTTTTTGTTCCACACCCATTTGCACTATTCGGGTGACCCTGAGGGTACAGATAAACCTCCAAGTGGCTTCAATAACTCTCAGAAAGAGTGCTAACAGCCAGATGACTGCAAAGAAGAATATAAATCCTTCCATTGTGCACCATTCAGTCAGAACTGAAGAAGCTTCTTGAATGAGAAGCAAAACATCTTGAAGGAAAATCAAAGAAAGTTCAGTTGTCTTTTGAAAAAGGCACCTTTGGGACAACATGACCTGGATGACTGAGAATCTCTATAGACATCTAAAGACTCCGTGCTACATCTCCTGCACTGCAGCAGAAAGGTCAATTGTTAGGTTATGCCTGGTCAGGATTCTGCTTGTGTTCTAATTATACATCTATTTCTTATTAAATATACATCCATAGATTTGATTGATTGAATTGCTGCTTCAGTGCATAAAGGTACACATCCAAGTATAGTGCATTCTGACTGGGCAGATTTTATGCAGGGTTGTCACATTTTTGACAATGTCAGATTTATAGTTGGTTTAATTCTTCCTTTAATTCATACACAAGACCATTAGGTTCTTTGAATACTAAGAAAGCCTTGAATTTTACAATGTATTATCGTACACACACACACACACACATACACACACACACATCATATTATGCCTTTGGTTTTAAATTATTTACACCACCTAGCATCATCTTGGTGAGATGGGTGACTATATAACTAAAATAAATAAGTTAATGATGTTTTATGTGTTTTAGAAAGTTCAGCAATCCCTATTTCTAATCCCATTTTAATCATATCTGAATTTATCACCCTGTCTCATGATTCTACAAATTGAAGTCAATCCAAAAGGTTACTATAAAGTCAGGAACTAATTCAGAAAATACAGATTGGAGTGGGGTTGATTATGATCTGACTCTTTTCTTAATTGGTAAATTTGAATTTATCTTCTAATCTAAACAGGTGGTCTAGAATTCTTCTGAATATCTAGGATAATAGAAATATTATTAAGGTGAATGTAACTCAGAAGTTGATTTATATTTTGAGATGCCGTTCTGATTGTATTCCATGATTTTAAATTTATTTACAGGATGCTGAATATATTTCTTTGGCAAAGACAACCTGTGTGATTTCTACTGCACAATTTGTTAATGTCACATTGAGGAAGGTGGATTTAACTTTCCATTTTCTTCAGGCTTATCCCTGTGGCATTATTTTAGCTTTGGTTATTGGCTAGTATAAGGAACTTCAGAATCCAACTCTTCCCAAAAATCTGCTCAGGAGATATTATTTGACTTCACTGAAATCCTGGCATGTATTGGAATCTCAGTTTCTTCGGGCATTGATGTCAGCATTACACTTTAATGCTGCAAGTTTTATATGGAAATTATTAGGTCACAGATATTATTTTGATCCTTTTTACAAAAAAAAATTGTTATGGGATAAACCCAGTTTTAAAATGACATTTACTTCTTTTTAGGGGAGGTAATAAGCTGGATTTCTCACAATGTTATTACTTTGGATGAACTCACTTCTGATGAAATATTCTAAAAAGCTTTTGCAGAATTAAAAAAAAGTTTGATTTATCTCAGACTGCTTTTTGGCAGTCTATTCAATTTAAACATTTCTTATTTGGTTTATACCATATCTGAAGTGGAAGAATTGACTGGCTCCTAGCAAGTCTTATTAAAATAGGAAGATAATAAAACTGATATCAGACACTTTACATGACCCATAAAATAAGCTGATATCTCCTGTCCACATAAATCAGTGCAAGTTCCCTTTAAACATGCAATTAGTGTTGTATGATTTTAAAATGAGGTTATTTCAACAACAAAAAATGTTCCATCTATATTAAACATTTCAATTAATTGTAAAAAGAGTTCATTTACTTGTTTTACATGATAGACATTTACCAAAGAGTGGTGAACAAAATTATTCATTAAATGAAAACAACAACAAAAAAACCCTAAGTCAGGGTGTCTCAAAGTATTCAATAGCAACATAATAGACATAACAGTATCTTCATCAGAGGTCCATTAACACCCAGGCCCCCCAAATCCAAGTTCTCATAGCCTTCTGAAAGGCCAGCAGTAGGGACAATCTGTATCTCTGTCAGGAAGCAGGCACAACAGAGAAGACATGGTTCTTAAGGCCAAGTTCACTGCTTCACCAATGGGACCCAGAGCATGCATATTTTGCTCAAATTGGTGGGGCAGCAGAAATCATAACAAAGAGACATCCCACAGGTAACCTAGTCACATGCCATGGAGGATTTTAAAGATGACAATCAGAATCTTGAATTATATTGGAAGCATTCTGGGAATAATATAGTTTAGATAGCAATAATGTTATGTGGATGACCTACGGAGCAGCCAATACTGCACAGGCTGCTTTGATCTTGACCAGCTGAAGCTCCAAATGCTCTTCAAAGTTGGAGAAACATGAAATCTTCACCTAATGACAACTTGATCCTGGCCTAATGACTGCAAACAGGAGTACCAAAACTGCTGTTGCTAAGCAGTATGGTCATGTGATGTTTCTATCACTTACTAATGGAAATTCCAATGGCAACTAGGTTTACTCTATAGAAGATGGACAGTGGTTGACTGTAGTTAGTACGATTTTGATTTCTGGAATTTCAGAATGAATTTAGTTTCATTCTGTGCAATAGATCCTAGAGTACATGGTTGAAAACAATAGGACTGGTTGGTTCTTATTTGGACTATTTAGATCCAAAGGTGACAAAATGTTGACCTATCATCCAGGGACAGAAGCCCAGATGCATGAACTCTCCCTGCCCTCAAACCAATTCAGCAGAGATAATGGACTGAAGAGGAGGCTACTTTCTGCCTGAAGTAAACTGCAGTCCTACCACAAAAGCTAGTTTGGGAATGTGTGTGCAGAAGAAAATGTTTCTGCTATTGCTATCTAGGATGAATCATCTTGCATTTCAGAAAATGCTCTCCTGCTCTGAGATGTTGAATAATTAAGCACAGAGGAATCTGAGCCAACAGTGTTTGGTAGTATAAATATTTGGAACTCAGTTTTACTGCAGCAAATATGTGATACATTGATCCTTCCTCCCTCCCTCCCTCCCTCCCTCCCTTCCTTCCTTCCTTCCTTCCTTCCTTCCTTCCTTCCTTCCTCCCTCCCTCCCTCCCTCCCTCCCTTCTTTCTTTCCTTCCTTCCTTTTTTCTAAAAAACCTTTAAATTGCACAATGATGGAGGTAGATAGAAAGTTTAATTGACAACCAGACATTTGATTTATAAACAAACCTGCATTGTATTTACAGTTAAATTTGCAGAGGCAGCAATTTTGTTTTGCTTAGAAACTAGAATACCTTTGGGTGGAGGAGCAGGCACGCTGCCATTACTTTGCCAGCCAAGAAATCCACTCTATTTATCTGATTTATCTGAAGTGTGACCCCCAAGTGAGGAGAAAGAGAATGGCTAGGGTGTATTGATTGCCTTTGACTTACTTTGGGACTGGGATGTGCTGTATGTGTAAAATGCTTTGAGCTGCTGGAGCTATTTCAGAGTCATAAGTCTCCTCCTTATGTAAATAATCATGACATATGCCTCTGCTTACTGCTGAGCCTGAGGGGGTCGGAAAGTGGGTGGAGGCTGATTGCTGGCTTCTGTCGTATGTTCATGAGTATGTATTTATGGAGAGTTGTTCAATCTCTCTCCCTTCTGAGGATACATGGTTCTCGGCTGCTGACAATGACTGCCTGCTTGGAGTTCTGCACCTCCGTCCTGTGAAAGAGAAAGCTGCAAGGTAGCCAAGCCACCTTGCGCAGTACGATGGGGGGACAGCTAACGAGAAGCACAATATACGGTAAGGAGCTGGCCAGCAGCACCGATGGTTAGACAGCAAATACTTAATGTTGGTAGATTGCTTGCCTTTTGCCTGAGCCTTCTGCAGCAAGGGACAGTATGGCTCAGAAAGGTAAGTGAGTTACAGCAGGGAGCTGCAGTCTGCCCTGTCTCCTTCGTACTCGGTGCCTTTTCTTTTAAAGACAATCTTTCAGTGAGAGACTTTATTTAATCCAGAATCCACAAGGGAGGGAGGGAGGGAAAGAGTGAGTGAGTGAGTGTGTGTGAGAGAGAGACTGTACCTATATGCCTATTTTATCTGATTGTATGTGATATGCTGCTTTTGTTTTATTACTTCAGACAAATTTGTCTAAAGAATATTGCTTCCTGTGGGTTGACAGATATCCTGTATGGGAAAAGAAAAAGAAAAGAGCATTGGGAGTGTTTGACAAGAAAGTCTGGAGGCACAGAAGATGCATTCATTTAGAAAATGGATCAGGGTTTTACCTTAAATATTTCCTGGATAGTGGGATATGGTTCTCTCTGACTGTAACGGCATTTGCTTCACAGTACAGCTTGTTAAGAGCTAGTCCATTGTAAAGCTTTTTAGCACAGAATGCCACTTGCCTTGACAGGATCATGGAGAGGAGTACATAAGAGAAGAGGGAGGGCATTGCAGGGAGAAAAGTTTCAAGATGATGAACAAGATGGAATATTCTCTGGATGCTTATAGTAGGTGATTCTGGCACACATTAAGGCATGTCAGTCTGAGTAATTTCAATGGAAAGTTAATAAGCATTGCTTCACACAGTGCTTAAACTTTGGATGGAGCAGAATATACTTAACACAGAAATTATTTATTCTTCACAGCTGTTTTCTGTTACTTTTTTTTACATTACATGGGAAATGTAATGGCCATATCTCAGCTTTACAATAGAATGATAGTAGATTTCATGGTGTATCTTTGTTTACAATATGGTATTAATGTGGAGGGTATCATTTGTTTTCACAATGTTACACGTGGTAGCTGTATCTAAGATGCTTGCATTGATTTTTTTTATCTTTTACAAATTGCTAATAAAAATTCAAATCAATTATGTGACAAATGATTAGATTTTCCTTCATTCTCAATATGCAACCAGAATATTTTAGAATAGAGCTGATACTCATTTTTATAAGCATATCACATGTTACGTACTGTTTGCAGAACAATGTTAATGTATTTTCACAACAAAACTGAGAAATCCAATACAAACTGCTGGGTTTTCTTCAAATTTTAAAGGTTATGTGGAGGTGTTAACCTCCTAGGTGAATAATTACTATCATGAATCTGTCTAAAATGTTTGTCCTAATTGGCTTAGTTTATTTGGAGAATAGTTAAAACATGGAGGATAATGCAGAAAAAAGGATGTATATGTTTAGCCTGATATAGAAGAAAAATTATTTCAGTTAACGAAAACTGCAGGCAGAATATTCTAGTTGCTGCAAAAGTCCTATTAAAACTAAAAAGAAAATGGAAATGAAAAAAAGAAAAGAAAAATGATGATAGATTGGTAGTGGTTGACACCTCCTTCCTTCCTTCCTTCCTTCCTTCCTTCCTTCCTTCCTTCCTTCCTCCCTCCCTCCCTCCCTCCCTCCCTCCCTCCCTCCCCATCCGTGTTGACTCCTGGTCACTGCAGGGACTAGTAGTTCCAGCAGTTTTCTTGGCAATATTTTCAAAAGCGATTTGCTATTGTCTTGCCATTGCTTTCTTCCTAGAGCTAAGTGAGAGTGACTAGCTCAAAGTCTCTAGCTAGCTTTGTACCAATGGTAAGACTATAACTTAATGTCTCTCAGTTTCTAGTCAGATGCCTTAAAAACTACACCAAGCTGCCTTGATAGGTCTCATAATCAGGACTAGAAAATTCTATTATTGTTTTGAAATAAGTTACTGAATCATATAGAAAAAGGATACAAAATAATGAAAAGTACTGGAATCTGATATTCCTGAAGAACTTAATTTGCATCCATTCTTGAAAGTTATATTCATGCTATTGTTTAAGTCTTGAATCTTCTCATCATGCACAGAACAGATGAACAATAGACAGACTGTTCACAGTAATAATATACTAATTTAATTTTGTGCAAACTAAGATAATCCTTTTATATGCAATATGAATCAAAGTATTTTCTAAAAACTCAACAGAAGTGGTTATTTTCGCAAAATTACGCAGTCAGTTGGGTCCTTCCTTCCCCTTTCTATTAGATTATACTGAATTTGTTGACTAAATTTACATAATGTTCACATGGTATTGATTTGAAGCACAGTTGCATGTATAAGTATACATTTAGGTTATTACATTCAGAGTAATAAAGGTGGACGTAACTGGTGTTTTATAATTCTATTATTTAGAGATATAAGCTACTAATTTACAAGGAGTTTGATTTCTGTCAACTTTTCTAATTTGTTTTAAGGAGATGTGTACAACAATTAACGGACAGCCCATGCTTTCCCAAAACGGTTGAGACCCATGGCACCTCTTTTTAGAGGAAGATTTCATTTTAAGGCATGAAATGCACGGTTTAAAATGTTTGTTTTACCCCCTCCAAATTCCAAAAGAACAACAAAATAAAACCCATTTTGTAATGTTTCACCTAGCCATTTGTGGAAGATCTGGCAGAACACATAAAATGTATGATTAGGGGCTATATATAGCTCTCAGGTAGCACATTTTGATCTATGTAGAAGGCAAAGTTGGTTTAAACATTTCATACAACTTCTCTTCTTGTTCATTTAAATTTGGAATAAGGTAAATATTTTGCATATTTTTAATAAAATAGCTTCTTCCATTTAATTATATCCAGTTCTTGGAGAATGCCTGGCAAGTTCCTGCAGTTTTCTTGGCAAAGCTTTTCAGAAACTTTTACCATTGCCTCCTTCCTTGGGCTGAGACACAATGACTGACCCCAGGTCTCCCAGCTGGTTTTGTGCCCAAGCCTAGACTAGAATTCAGAGTCTTTCTTTTTCTAGTCTGGTGCCTAAATCACTACACCAAAGTGTTCCAGCAGTAATAAAAAAAATATATAAATCCATGTTATGGATTCTTAGGAAGGATTTTTTAAAACAATTTTATTAAACTGATTGAAATATAAAATCAAATGAAAATGAAAAGAGTGGAAAAGGGGAAAAGGAAAAAGGGGAACAAAAGAAGTTAGAGTAGAGGCAAAAGAAAGAAAAGCATTGACTGCTGACTCTTTTTAGCACACTAGAATAAAATAATAACATTATAGCCATTTTATAGCATTTTACTTTTATATACTTAATATGTGCTAACCATTTCTATAACAGCAAATTTATCTAATCAGCAGAACCCAAAGTTTCACTTTTTTCCATATTAAGCACAACATTCAGAAGTAGTTTCCAAGTAGAAATAAAGTTGGATGTATTCTTTTCTTTGATTAAGCAGTAATTTAGCCATCTCTGCTAGATCCATCAGTTTTCCAGCCATTCATCCATTGTGGCAATTAGCGTATCTTTACATTTTTGTAAAGCATTCTTGCTGCTGTCAACATATAGAACAGCAAAGGGGATTCTTAGGAAGAAATTGAAAAGAATACTTCTGATACAGAGTTGCCTTCATATAAGCCTCTATGTGCACCAAAATTTATGTTATTAAAAAATAATATGTCACGGTGGATCAGCGAGCATGAAAGTACAACCAAAGAGCTAGGGAAAAAAATCATATTACCTCTGTTGTGGAAAACAAAATGCTGTTCTCTTTCCTTCATAATGCTAGAATCTTTTGTTGTATAGTAAAATTGAATATTTGGTCATTTATTTACTTATTACATTTATATGCTCAACTCTCAGTGTTTCTGGGTGGTTTACAAATTCTTAAAAACAAAACAAATAAAAAGAACAAAGACAGCCGAAATAACAAACCCAAATGGGAACAAGAAAAAAAGTGTTTGTGTGTTTGTGTGTAGGGAATTGAATTAATCAAAGGCTTGCACAAAGAGCCTGATCTTCAGAGTCCTTCACAAGACCAGCAGCATCTGAATCTCTGTGGAATCTCTGATTCAGTGCTATCTGAATCTCTGGGGAACATCCTTTCAGAGGGCAACCACTGCTACACAGAAGGTATGTTTCCAGGAACCTGAGAGATGCCATTGTTTAATCAAAGGAACCCAGAGTGTGCCAGTACCAAATGAACAAAGACAGGATTTCTTAAACCATTTCAAAATTCAATTAAAATCTGTTTCTGGAAGATGCAGCAAAGAAACCAACCTGAACAGTTTTAAAAAGGATTAGGAAAAACTAAAAGGAAATTAATTGTTCAATATTATCTCTTAACACAAGAAACAACGGTGGTGGCCCAGAGCTCCTGATTAATTACCTTGAGATCCAGAATATTGAAGTAGGTAAGACTTTGGTCTTATTTAGCACCGCAATTTTACACTCTTTTAAAATGAACATAGCCAAGTGCATTCAGCCTTTCAGAAGGTTGCCTAAAGATGCCAGCTCCTTGATAAGTGGCTGTCATACTAATAACAGCAAGAGTACACATAAAACCTAACCAGCTGGAGGAAGAAGTAAAAATGACCTCAAATATTTTTAAGGAGAATGACTTTTTTGTCAGATGTAAAAGGGGATTGTTACTTTTATTATGATATTAGATATAATAGCAATTGCAGATAAGAATAACATGGACCGGCTATCCTAAAAACTAGCATTCATTCTTGGAGCAAAGCATGCTGCAATTCTGTTATACCATTTATAGTAATTGGCTACCAGTTATTGTACAGGATAGCAGATGACCATAATAAAATACTGTACGCATAGAGTTCAATATAATGCTATTGAAAACAGCATAAATAGAAGGGCACAGAAGTGTCAATAGTATCAGAGAAAAACAGTTCTGTATTCTACACACAAGAAAAATATCATTTTTTCTTGAAAATTAGGAAAAAAAACTTTCAGATATGTGATATGCTTCATTTAAGAGTATTTTTGTGTGGATAGATTTTTATGGAAGAAAATTT